CATGAAAAAAATCCTTGGGATTAATTGTCATGTAAGCATAACATATCACATTTTTGTAAAGATTGATTTTCAAACTCTTTTTAATTATGTATATGTATATGTGTGGGAATATATACATGTGAGTTCAGGTATAGGTTCTCTTAGAACTGGAGTTACAGGTAGTTGTGAGGACCTGGGAACTGAACTCAGGTTCTTTTTTTTTTTGGGGGGGGTGCAGGGTTTCTCTGTATAGCTTTGTACCTTTCCTGGATCTCGCTCCGTAGACCAGGCTGGCGTTGAACTCACAAAGACCCACCTGCCTCTGCCTCCCAAGTGCTGGGAGTAAAGGTGTGTGCCACCGCCACCACCACCTGGCTTGAACTCAGTTTTTTTTTTTTTTTTTACAAGAGCAGTATGTACTCTTAATTGCTGAACCATCTCTCCAGCCCAAGATGTCACATTCTTTCAAACATTCTAAGTCTTCCCATATACAAAGTTGCTCACCTAATAAAGTCTGCAAATTACAGATGCTCCATGATGGTTCTTGAGATGTTAGGTGCTGACCATTACTATTTTAAAGATTTATTCATTTTTATTTTATGTGTATGAGAGTTTGCCTACATGTATGAAAGTGTATTGAGCATATACCTTGCACCCACAGTGGCCAGAAGAGGGCGCTGGATTCCCCAGAATTGGAGTTATGAATGGCTGTGAGCCACCACATGGGTGCTAGGAATGGGACCCAGGTCCTCTGCAAGAGCAGCCAGCTCTTTTAACTGCTGGGCCATCTCTCCAGCCCCAGTTATTATTATTTTAAACTTTCATGAGAACATGATTCAAGGGAACTGTATTGCCAATTTGTTTTTAAAATCTTTCAGATCTCCAAGAACTCCTTCCAAGTCCACAGCCCATCAACGGTGTAAGTCGCTGGCAGGTAGAACATGTCCCGAACAGCCACTCTGCCTGCTGCGCTTTCATGTGTGATATCTGAACTGCTGCATAATGACATTAGTAAACCGAACTGATTCAACAGCGCCAAACTTTGATATTTCAGCTAAAATAATTTTACAGCATCTTATTAAGGGAGAAGTAAGACAAACTGGCAGTCATTTTAATAATATTAGAGTCAATGTTTTTCCTCCAAATAGCAAGTCTGCGAATAAGGAGAAGTCATAACTTAACAACAGATAGCAGTTCTAAAGTCTTAAAATCTAGCTCTGACTAAACAAGCTAAGCTTTGAAGGACATGCATAATTTTCACTGTCTGATTTTAATAAAAGTAGAGCTCACTCTTGGAGTACACTCAGTTTCACAACCTGAAATGAGATGAACATGTGTTGTTTCTCATAGGTGTGAGCCATTAAATGCTCACTGAAGAAAACAGGAACATGGTGAGGTGGAGGTGGTCTGCTCCCCCAGCTCTGTGGAGCCAGCCCCCCCATGGGCTATGGAAAGGCAAGGGCCAGCAGGCAGCAGGCCAGGGGCCAGCAGGCCAGGCGTGTTGGCTAAACTCAGAGTTAGGTTTAATGTTACTGATGGCTGGTACACACGCCTCCCTCTTCTATTTAGTTTTTGTTTTAAATTTTTTAATTTCCAGAGTTGGAAACGGTGTTACATACTTTTAACCCCAGCACTTGGGGGCTGAAGCAGAAGGATTTCAAGTCTGAGGGCATTCTGGATTCTATAATGAGATCTTGTCTCAAAAATTCTGTTGTTCAATTTTCATACTCTAACTTTAAAAGTGCACCTTTTGTAACTATAACATCTTTTTTTTTTTTTTTAAAAAGGGAATTAAAAAATTAATTATGGGCTGAAAAGATGACTCAGTGGTTAAGAGCACTGACTGCTTTTCAGGACCTGGGTTTGAGTCACAGCGACCACACAGTGGTTCATACCTGTTTAGGAGATACAATGTCCTCTTCTGGCCTCCTTGGGCACCAGACATCTCCAGGTGTGCAAGTGGTGTGCAGATAAACACGCAGGCAAAACATATGCCACAGTGTATGTGTGGGGGTCAGAGGGCAACTTGAGGGAGCTGATTCTCTCCTTCCATTAAATGGGTCATGGGGTCCAATCCAGGTCATCAGGCAAGGACTTTATCTGCGGAGCCATCTCATTGCCCCCACCCCCAGGCAAACAGCGTTGAACATAGAGGAGGGGTTGAGCAGTTGAGGTGAGTCAAGGACAGAAGGCCTGAGATAAGAAAAAGACCACCCAACCACTGTACTGTTAAAAGGGGTGAGCTGTATGGTGTGGGAATTGTACCCTGAGTTTTAAGAATGGATGGAAAATCTAGAACATTCCAGGTGACATAAATGCTATGGCTGGAAGCTTCTGTTCCTCACTCCTGGAGTCTCCTTCCTCAGAGCCTGCTTCTGTTCCCCTCTCCTTGGTGATACGTCATCATGTAATGCTGTTACAGATGGCGCCTTTCTCATGAACCCACTGGTGTCTGGGTATAGGGAGTCAACATTGACTTCCCGAGTCACTCTCCCATTGACGCTGGGTACTTGGACCCTCCCCCTGCTTTCTCTTCATCCCTCTTATGAGAGGTGGAGATTTCTATCTCACATTTTTGTGTGTATATACATCTGTATGCATGGTCACACATATAGGGCTGTGTGCACATCGGCAATAGTGTTTGTCGCTGGGCTGCCCTCTCCATCAGCTTACGCTTTTATTTGTTGAGATAGGGTCTCCCCTTGAACTTGGATGTTGGAGCTCATTGAGTGGCGAGTCTAGTTAGCTTGCTCCAGGACTCACGTCTCCCGAGTGGGTGCTGGGGCTTAGTTGGATTACAGAGCTAGGACAAGTTGCCTACTTGGCATGGGTCTTGGGGATCTGAACTCCAGGACCTATGGGAATGCAGTAAATACCTTATCCACCAAGTCACCTCCCCATTATATTCCATTAAGTTTATTTCCTGGCAAACTCTCTGAGACAAAAGGCAGAAGACGCTTGTCAATCACCTTCCTTAATACATCTGTGCTCCTGTTGAGTCTTACGACAAAGTCCCATACTCTGGATGGAAAGAGTAAGGCTCTGGGCTGTTTCCATTCAGATTCCCTGTGGATGTTCACACAGAATATCCATTGTACCTTTAAGGAGCCTGAAACTGATTACAAAACGGGACTGGTGATAGCAAGGGAACATTTACTAAAAACAACATAAAGCTAATAAAAACTGGCATTGTTTGCTAGCGTGTTTAAACACAATCACACTTCAAATAACCCCAGGAACATTTTCCACTGCAGGAGGCAGGATGTGTGTGGAGATGTGATCTTGTCAAGGCACCAGAGAAAGGCGGAAACACAGAGATCATTATTTAAGATTTAAAATCACACAAACTGCTCACAGGGGAACTTAGCTTTCTGCCACTTTGGTGGCTCCTGGATTTGCCAGAGAAGATGTAACAGTTTCCTGCTGTAGTTGGGACTGTCTTAGAGACCCATCTGCCATCCTTGTCTTCCCCCAGACAATCAAACCCAGTGGAGGTAGTTGGGGCTGCACTTGAGGAGGAAGGGAAGGGGCGGGTGTGAAGTGATTGCTGGGGAGATGGCCCAGCCAGTGAAGTGTGCAAACACTAGGACCTGAGTTTGATTCTTAGAATCCCCCCCCACACACACACATAAAAAATGGGTGCAATGGCTCATGCATGTAACCCCAGTGCTGAGGACATGGAAGCAGGCAGATTCTGAAGGCTAATGAGCCCATCAGTCTGGCTTCCTCAGCAAGCTCCAGGCTAGGGAGCTCAGAAGCAAGGTGACTGGCTGGCACCTGAGGAATGATTCCTGAGGTTGGCCTCTGGCCTTCACAGGTATGTGTAATCATGTACGTACACACACACACCACCACCACCACCACCACCACCACCAACAACAACAACAACAACAACAACAACAACAATAACAAAATGAATGGTATTTCAAAAAACCGGTGGACACTGACTGCCATGTGACCAGTGGTATAGTAGAGGAAACTCAAGTTAAATTTCTATTCCTAGAGCTCCCCTCCCTTGGTTGAATCCCAGCTCTGCTTCTTCCTTCCTGTATGACTGTGGCAAGCCTCAGGAAACTGAGGCTGGGAATAGCTTGTAGGCTCTAAGCTGTTTAGAGTGCTCTAGGATTTTATACAGAAAAAGCCATGAGTATATTGCCTGGCACATGATTTGTTCTAGACAGGCTCCTGCTCAATAAATAATTAAAAACAAAATGTCTATTGCTACTCATTAAATGTCTCAAAGAAATGACACCCTAGGCCAGGCTTGGTGGCTTATGACTATAATCCCAGCATGTAGGAGGAAGGCCGGCCTGGATTATGTTGTCATTTCCAGGCCAGCCTAGGATACAGATCAAGACCCTGTCTCAAAACCCAAACAGTTGCCCCTGTAATATCTGCTGAACTGATGTGCACATGCTTATCTGAACTAGAAACTGGGAAACAATCATTCCGTGACTGCTGCACAGCGGAGGGTATGTCCCGAAGAATGCACCAGCAAGGCTCTCACTTGGAGGAAAATGGGTCCCACACAGATGGTGTTGGCTGAGGTGACTAATGAGGGGGTTCTGCAGCAGTTCAGAAGACCGCAGGGGCCTGCTGCCCCAGGCAGATGAAACGGAGAGAAGGCAAGGATTGTCTTTGCATTGGACCTCCAGGGGGCAAAAGTCTAGGAGGAATCATCAGTGGACTCTGTCCCCTAGACCCCAAGAGAACGAAGGCTAGCAGATCTCCCTTCTGGACAGAAAACCCTCCCAGCTCAAGAGTCTGTTGCCCATTTCATGCCCACGTCTTTCTTGAGTAAAGCCTGGTGTAAATGTATAGTCGTTAACCCTTAGTTCATGGAAGGACTTCCCCTGGCACACACACACTGTTCCAAAGGGCAGGTCAGGGAGACCCCAATGGTACTTTCTGTATGTCCCGGGATGTCTGGCCACCACAGTTCACCTTACCATCCTGGAAAGAATTCATCAACGGCAGTGACATGTCTCTTACGTGTATGTGAAAAAGATGAATGAACTCACCCAAATAGTTGTTGCTCTTGTGCATTTCTGTAATATTAATTTTCGTGGCTCCTTGGGGGATCTCTACAACTCGGTGGTAGCCCAGGCTGGTGAGGGCATGCTTGAACACTCCCGACACCACCTGGCAGCCTGTGTTATCACCTCCACACACCCCACACTTGTCCACAACTTTGTCAGAGCCCAGGAAGTCGTCACAGCCAATGTTCTGCAAAAAGACAGAGAAGATGTTGTAGAATGGATCAGGAACATCTGGGAGGAAGGAGTGGGAAAGGATTGGGAGATCTACTGATGGGCCTCAGACCGACCTTCCTCCTGCCCTTGCTCCTGGGGCTTAGGAAATGGCTCAGCGTGCCAAAGTGCTTGCCGTGGGAGCAGGAGTTTGGAGCCCAGCACCCACGTAAAAATCCAGGCGTGGCAGTGAATGCCCAAAATCCCAACACTGGAAGGCAGAGGCAGAGTGCTCCTGGGGGGGCATCCTAGTCTAACCAATCAGTGAGAGACAGTTTCTGTAGAGACTCAAAGAGTAAGATGGAGAGCCATAGAGAAAAATAACCAATGTCAACCTCTGGCCTCCACACGCCCACATACCCACATGTATATACACACACATTTTTAAAAGTTTATACATGCCTTCATTCAACAGATATGCACATAGCACCTACTTGGGCAAGAGCCTTCCTCTTCAGCTAGTCAGGAAATAGACCCTTCAAGGGTAGGTTGGGAGACCCACACAATAAACAAGACAGATCAATCCAATAGTACGTTTGGTCAAGGTAATTGATCAGAAGAAAGTGACTAGGAAGGAGGCAGGGTTTGATATTTATATAATTTGAACAGTGAAACTGTTTTGCATTCCCCCACTCCACGCAGACTACAGGAGGGTCATGAGTGCCCCATGCTGGGAATTTCTTAAATCTCTTTGGAACCACAGTAAATACCCCACTTAAACTGAGGTTTGCCGCCAAGTCTGTTCTACATTGCAGATCCTACCACCACGTGACAGAGCAACCCCCCAAAGTGCTGTTTCCTGGCCCAGTTTCGTGGGAAATCAGAGCTTGAGCTCTGTCTCCACTGGTAAGTGTGGTTCTGGAGAGCTGAGCACGAGTCTGGTTGCTTGTTTTTTCTGAGGCACTTCCCAGAAGCGCAATGGCTAAAACACCACCAGAGAGCATGGTAAGCTTCTATCTGAGCCTTCACCAGACAGTCAATTTCATTCATGGAAACTCTTGTCTAATCTGAACCTCAACCCCACCCCAAATCTCATCACTCAGTTTTTTTCTGCTGTATCTTTATTTACCATCATCCATTCATGTTCCTGTTAAGATAATTTTGTTTTGCATTAAAAAAAAATAAAGCTTTGCAACAAAATGGAATGAGCTTGATTGGAATCTTTCTCCCATTGCCCAAGCTGGCTCCACAGGGCTCATGATACTGTTTCCTGAATTCAAAACTGGGACTCATGGTCTGAGCAGAGAATTCTGTCACATTTCCTCCAGGGGCAGATGGAAGCCAGCAGAATGTAGTTTGGATGATGAAATATTGGGATTACAGGATTATGCATTCGGTCCTGGGGTTGCAGAAAATGAAATCAGAATGATGTTCTAAAACTTGAGACATATGTCCACTGACTCACAAGCTTGTTTTCATTCTCAAACCTAATAGCAAACATGAGACCATATCTCAGGGGCAGAGTGGTCAGCAGACCCCTCCAAGTTCACTTCTGATTGCATTAAATAACCGTGGGTCTACCCACGTGGGTCCTGTTGGTGGGGTCAGATCTCACATCAGAGGTGTTTAGTTTTGTTCCTTTAATTTGACTGACATCTTTCTGCAGGCACTGTACTTCTGCCTTATTGCTTCCATATTTCCGAGCGCACATTAGTCCATCAGTAATCACTGGTCTCTCCACAAATCGCTTCTCTGTAAAACATTATTTCTGACAATAACAGGACATCATCTCAATATGTCCATCCATATCCAATTAGCCTTTCAAAACGTCATGTATGCTATGTCTTTCTTCCCCCTTAAAAATGTCTTGCCTTCACTCTCTGAACATTTTAGCAGGAAAGGAAGGAAAATGATAGCCACACCCTAACTGTCTTGCATTCTCCCTTGCTTTGAAACAAGGCAATACTACCAATATCAGGGTTTCTAGAAGACAGAAACTATGGGGATGGAAAGATGGCTCCCTGGTTAAGAACACTGGCTGCTCTGGAAGAGGCCCTGGGTTTGGTTTCCATTACTTACATGGAAGCTCACAGCTATCTGTAACATCAGTTCCAGGGGATCTGATGTCCTCTTCTGGCCTCCATGGACATGTGGTTCACATATATACATGTAGGTAGACACTTATAAACATAAAATGAAAATAAACATTTTTAAAAAAAGAAAAATAGTTTCTACTCTACCAAAAGCCAAGAGTCTAACTAAATTGATGATTATGGATGGGTAGGACGGACAGTGTGGTGGTATGAATGAGATGTCCCCCATCAGTCTCAGACATCTGAATATTTGGCACCCAGGTGGTGGCTATTTGGGGATGATAAGGAAGCATGTCCTTGTTAGAGGAAGTATGTCCCTTCAGGTGAGCTCTGAGGTTTCAAAAGACTTGCACCATTCCCAGTGTATTCTCTGCCTTTTGCTCAAAGTTTGAGGTGTTAGCTCTCAGCTGTGCCTGGTGCCGTGCTCTGCCACCATGGACTCCATCCCTCCAGAACTACAAGCCCCTAATGCTCTCTTCTAAAGGTGCCTTGGTCATGGTGTTTTACCACAGCAATAAAATATAACTAAGACAGAAAAGTTAATCATCCCTAGAGATAGCTCACAATCCCCTCTCTCTACAAGCTTTGGTCCACTCTGGCTAACCCTGGACGCATCTCGAGTAGAGGGGACATTGACACAAAGGCACAGAAGGAGGAACCAACAATATAGTGCATAGAATGAGGTGGATCACCCGGCAGAGGCAACCGAAAGGGGGCAGAACTGATTTCAGCTCATGGTGTCAGAGGGTACAGTTCACCACGGTGGGGAAGGCATGGTGGAGTTCATGGCAGGGAAGTGACGGCTGCTGCTTGTTTGTGGTGTCAACCAGGAAGTAGAGAGCATGGGCTGGAAGTGGCAGCCTCAAAGCCCATCCCCCACTGAGCCACTTCCTCCATCTAGGTTCCAACTCACAAAGATTCAAAAGCCTCCCAAACTATTACAACCAGCTGGAGACCTAGTGTTCAGACATGCGTACCTGTGGGGGACATTTTACATTTAAATTATAAGACTACAGGGTAGGGTTGCAGTGAGGGATGAAATGAGGCCAGAGAATTAGACTCTCCAGGGTGAAGCATCAGAACTTTAATCTAAGGAATCAACGACTACCAGATGTATGAAGAAGTAGAGGGTCATATTCAAGATGTGTTTTGAAGACAATAATGTTGGCCACAGTGTGGAGTGGGTCCTACCTAGAGATGGGGAGCAGGCCATCTAGAAGGTCTTTTACAGAAATACTCTCTTGTAGATAGGGTTTGGAGAGTATTTTAAGAACAAACAAGAGCCACTGAAGATGGGATCTACATTACCTCAGTCCTCTGTCCCAATGCAGTCAGTAGGATTTTCCGTTGGAAATTGTACAAACACTGCTTCAGACAACCACAGACACAGGACAGATGACGCTTGCTCTTCTGAGTTAGGCATTATATTAGGACACTCAGCACTATTGGATGGATCCCCACCTGATTTCCTGCACAGCTCAGTCACTACGGATGGATCTAGATTCTGCCACTGCAGTCTTCCTGGCAGATGTCCACATAGCTTGGAGACTAGCTTTAGTGGAGGGTGTGGTTTCATAAGCAATGTCAAGAGCTGACAGTGGCATCCTGTTTTCTCAGAGCCCACCCTAGACTCTCAGGGCAGTTTAGCTCTCCAGAGAGAAATCAAAACAAAGGGCATACAACCCTTCCCCAGACATGGAAAGAAACCACTGGGACATCTTTCCGGTGTCCTAATGGTTCCACAGCTCTTCCTTGGGGAGATGGATTTGCCATGGAGTCACACAAAATGCTACCCACTTCAGGAAGCAGGAAAGACAAGTGTAGAGTGACTGGGCAGACAATGTGGATTCAAGGCCTTTGTTCTCAGCTCGGAGGCCACAGAAAACTTATTTACATGACAAATGTCCCGTCTCCTGACAGGGCTAAGCTGAAGATCAGTGATATAATGAAGGACGATTTGATTGATGGGAAAAAGTGACCTTCAGACCGGGTCTCAAAGGACAAGAAGTATTGTTCATGATGATCTAACCATGTGAAAGTATATTTTATCCACAATGTCACTGAGGGACCACACCAGACAAGTCACCTAGAAAACACCCAGTTGAATCAGACTGAGGTCTCCCCTTTTGGGGGAGGGATTAGTTTTTCAAGGCTCACCTGAAAAACACACACACACACACACACACACACACACACACACACACACACACACACAGATTATCAGAAATTATTGGGCAACAAGGACTACCTGCATTTTTTTATATTCTCCTAAGACAGGATCAAATCTCTTTTAAAAACTGAAAACTGGGTACATGGAGACTAATGGGTGCTGCAATATCCCAGCTTGAAGTAGGGTGTAGGGGCAGAGTGACGTTCAGATGCAAAATGAACAGGACACTGTGACAGCCAGACCAGTAAAAGGGGAAGGAAGATTTAATCTCCCCCACTTGTTTTCAGCTTGGTAATGTCTAATACTCACAGAGCCTTTACTGTATTATAGGTCTTTTGGAAATCAATTTTTCTCATTTTAAAAGCAATCCATGGGATTGCTGTCAACTACGGGGAGCTGAGACTTAAAGAGGTCAAATATCTGAGTAAGGTTGTGTTGTTAGTTGTAAGGGTCAAAACTAAAGAGCATGTTTTAAAAACCGTTATGTTAGGATTGGAGATTACTCATGGCAAAGGTGACAGTTTTGTTGGAGAAGTGGATGGTGGCAGAGACCGAGAGCAGAGAACAAGTTCAAGGTGATGTCACCATAGAATCTTGGACAGAGCTCAGCCCAGAGGTGACTCTAATGTGCTTGTCTTCAAGTCTTGTGAAGAGATACAACCACAGGATGTATCTCTTCCATACTGGCTGTTTGAACATTATACTCTACATGTAGCAAATGAAAAATATTTTAGCTTATCTTCCTATTACATTGATTTCTTATTGTAAGAGCTT